GCCCAGCCCCGCATCAGCCTGCAGCAGGAGCCACCAAGCAGGACACGGAGAGGAATTCAGCTGCAGAGAACTGCCCATTCGTTTTGGAAACCAGGGTCCATCCCGCAGCCGGCGAGAGTGGAGTGCAGACCCCTCAAAGCCTCTCTGGCCACTCCCCCCACTTTTGTCCTGAAGCCTCACTTCCTGCCCTCAGGGTGGGGATGGCCATTAGGACCTTTACTTCCCAATTTAGGAAAAAACCGTTCCTGTCACCCCGCGATGAATGCTGTCAGTGTTCATTAACTCGCAGCCACCTCTCAGACGCCTTCACGTTCCCCGAGCACACGGACTTTTAACAGGGACCGCATCCTGGCAACCCTCCTGAAGGCTGCCGTCCCCAGCGTGTGCCCTGGGCCTGCCCACCAGAGCCCGACCGTCCTCAGGCTGGACAGGAGGGCCCCTTCTTTGTATGCCTTCCCTGATTCCTTCACTCCCTCCGGTCGGCTCTGAATAGTTCCAGAAAAGGCGGCCAGGATCCTTCTCCCCACGTTGGCCCATAACGATTTCTCCAGGTCTCCATTGTCCGTCTCCCCGTCCAGGCTGGGAGCCTATCAAAAGGAAAAACAAAGCCCCGGCCATCTCTGACATGTGTTTAAAGGCCAGCACAGTGCCTGGCACACAGTAGGCACTCTGCAAAGCTCGCCCGAACCCGCGATCGAATGAACAACTGCACGGCTGGATGAATACATTAAGGGGAACAAGCGTGGAATAAATTGCAGAGAAAGACACCCATCGGAGGCACAGCTGGGCAACTGACGACTTTTCATTTACCCTTCGGGCTCCACACGGAATTCAAATTCTCATTACGGCCCCGCATAAAACACAATCCGCACTTTGAACGAGGACCCTGAGAAATGCGGCAGTGGGGAAAGCTTTAATGTGCTCTTCCTATTGATTACAGCTCCAGAAAGAAAAGGGGGGGGGGGGGATGAAAAGATTAGCTTCAAACACTTTCATGTGAACAGCTAAAAGGAAGCAAATCCAGCTCGGGAGCGCGAAGCCCCGGGCTCTTTCAGACATACCGCGGCCACCGACGCGCCGTGTTTGCGGCTCGCCCCACGGCACGTTGCCTGCCAACATACATTCTGAGTCACCCAAGCAGATGTAATGCCATTGCCACAATGACTCCCTCTTTGCTTTTTCTTCTCAAACTTGTTAAAGGGAAGATGCCGACCTACCTAGGAAATGCTTTTAATCAGTTTCGTTCCGGAAATAACTATGGAAATTCAGATTTTTCCATTCTCTTGCTTCTGAGCATCCTATGGGGGCAAATGGCTGAGGATCGCCGCTCCTCTTCCCCCACCCCGTCGGGACGAATGACGTGACTGGCAGCCCTTCCCAACGCCCCCTCCATGGAAAGGTCTGAGCGAATAAGCATATGAAAGGCGAACAAAAATGAAGCTTTTGAGAAAAAGAAGAAAAACATCAACATTGCCCATCACTCCCCACATACCCATCAGAAGGCCATCCCCTCCTTGGGCAAGAGCTGTACCTGGCCCTTTGTCTCGGTCCTTGGCAAGCAGGGTCCCGGGAAATCTAGACGGAGGTCATGTGTACCGCGACATAGGGCTGCGCACAGGTGACCAGAAGCCCACTGGTGGACGTCAGACAAGCTTGAGACATGTCTCGGAGTCACGGAGGCCTGGTGCACAGGTCTTCCCCAGCTTACCACGGGGCGACATCCACATGAACTGAAACATCAACGCAAATACAAACTGCCTACGGTAAGCGAGCTCATTTCCTTTCCCGCCTGACGCAAACTACTATCCTTCCTCACCGAACGCGGTTCGTGTCCAGATCTGGGGCCCCTGGCAGGCGCTGCGTACCTGTGCACCATCAGGGACATAAGGAGCTTCCCTGGGCGCTCCGGGACAAGGGGGAGGAAGTGCTCGGTAACACTGGCAGCGCGTTTCAAGCCTTTGACCCTCCTGCCCCCGCGGAAACTGTCAGTCACCCTGGATCCAATGAACCTGCAGAGGCGGGCATCCACCAGGGACATCCCTGGGGCTCAGGGGCGAAGTCAAACCCCCAGGGGGGGGACTCTGGGTCCCACCTGCCCTCATCAGCCAATGCACTGGACCCCATGCGGCGCACATCCACAGCTAATGTGTCCCCCGGATCTGAGATACGGGGCTCAGCGTGGATGGAGAGTCGCCGGGACCCAGGGAGGCAAGCCCAGCGAAGCAGAACTTCCACATGCCCATTAAACAGACCACATCCTCGAGCCGCAGCCTCCTGGGGAGCCCTCCAGAAGCAGGGAGGCTGGTGATTTTAAATTTGTTAGCCAGTAAGAGAGCTGAACAGAAATGTCCCTGGGGTCTCTGCCCAGGCCGCCCGGAGTCTACTGGGAGGGCTCAGGTCCATTCTCCAGAGGACATTATTCTGGTGTTGATGCGTTGACCCAAATGGAAAGCATTCACTGAGGACTCGCTGACGGAGGCTACCATTCACTCAGGGCCTCTGGGGTGCGCCCGTCGCAGGCTCAGGGGGAGGGAGAAGACCAGGAAAGCCTTCTCCTCTCTCCGGTGGGGTGGGGGCCCCAACCACATCCCACCCTCTGCCGGGGCCCCAGCTACCTTTCCTGGGGTCCACATGCCATCATCCGCTGAACTCACTACTGTCTCCCGGGACTGGCATTTTCAAAGATCTTTCCATCGGAAAGGATGACAAAGGAATGGACCTCAAAAGGTAGAAATTTCAGTGTCAGGCTCTCCGGACTCTTGAGTTTCAGGAGAGCCAGGGCTTCTGCCCAAAAACCTTCTCCCCCACCCCGCCGGCACCCCCCAGCCCACCTCGTATCCAAAACCTGGCACACAACTTCTCCCAACTCCACATCCACACCCATGTGGGTGGGGCAGGAGTTCTTTAATATTAACTGATTATCCCCCCGACCAAGTTCTGTACCCCTTGACCTGTGCCTCCATCACCCACTGGCAGAGACAGTCCAGTCACTGGAGCATCCCTGAGATGGAGTTTGCGCACCAGAAACCCCACAGGGCTCTGAGGCACCGTGTCCTGGGCTCATGGAAAGCCACACAAAGCAGAACGTGCTGCATCGTTAAGTCTAGAGTCGGCTCAGGGTCTGCCCACCTTCCCTCAGGCCCTCCGTGCCAGAGGCAGCAGCTGGGGGATTCTCGTGGGGTTAAGGGTAGTGTGAATACAGAAAAGGGTGCACCGAGCACCCGCGCACCCCACGACCCGATGTGGTGCGGAACAGCAGAGACAGAAAGAGACCCTGGGAGAGGGCAACACGCAGGAGATCTGCGTAAGGACCAGGCAGGCGGCAGTGGACATTTCCGAAGAGGTTGGCAGGAGCTGACAGCAAGGACCGCCCCCCACTGCCCTCACTGTATAACCCCCCAGCAGAGCTCCCCCAAGATTTCGGGGTACTTAGGCAGTGGTGGGGAGCATCTCTGAATTGACTGAGATAGAAGAAATTACGATGAACTCATTTTTGTATTACATGTACTGCACAGCCGAGCAAATGGCTACAGTTATGCCCTGGGCTTGAACTTGCTACTTGGTGAGCGTGTTTCTATCTGCACTTAGGCTGCTAGGAAGCTCAGTGCAAATTGCAATCTGTTGTCAGGAACACACATTCTGGTCATGATTTACGGACTTCGCTTTGTCATTCTGCTCTTACTTGTCCTTGCTCTGGGGATCTCCACCCATAGTTAGGTTCTTGACCCACGATCAGTATTACTGTGATCCGATCAGAATCCTCGAGGCACATAGGCACCTGAGAACGTGTGTGTAATCACAGATGTTTAGAGTGATTTACAACCCTGGTCTCAAAGCTCTCAGCCATTAAGCCCTTTGAGGAAGTCAGAGCCGTCCTGCGGCAGCCTGGATCTATGGGCCCCAGGGAGCTGCTGGGGGCCGTCCACCTTGAGTCTCTGGGGGACCCCACCTGCACGGGCGGGGGGCTCTCCTATATAGTAGCAGCTCCCAAACTCACAGGGGAGACAGGAGCACCTGGCTCCGGTCCCTCCTTGTGTTGGCAAGCAGCTCTCTGTGCAAATCAGTCCCATCACAGGTGGAGGGGAGCTGGGTCTACCTCTGAGGTCCCGCCAGACGCACCTGCCTGCAGAGGTCTCCACCATTCCTGTGGCCCGAGCGCGGAAGAGGGCACAGCAGAACTGGGCACGCTCAAAGTGCTCCTTCCAGCCACTCTCTAAACAGGTTTATTTGCTAACACAGAGGCCGACCATTCACTCATGGCGTGGCCTCAAGAAGAGGGTCACCGATTGATTTTGTCTGTTAAATGAAGAGATCGCCCTGCACACAGGTAGAGAACGCAGGGCTTAAACCACAGAAGCCGGGAGGCTCAGGTGGTTAAGCATCCGACTTCGGCTCAGGTCATGATCTCGTGGTCCGTGGGTTTGAGCCCTGCATGGGGTTCTGTGCTGACAGGGCAGAGCCTGGAGCTGCTTCAGATTCTGGGTCTCTCTTTCTCTCTGCCCCTCCCCTGCTCACGTTCACTAGCTTCTCTCTCAAAAATAAACATTAAAAAAAAATTTAATAACCCAGAAACTTAGTAGGGAAGCATCATTGGGCTGTGTGACATGTGGCTCTGGGGGCACACACCAAGACACATAGTCCTAGGCCCCGGACAATTCTGGGCTGACAGCAGGCAAGAATCTTCCGGCACCGCCGAGGCCTTAACAGCTGCACTGACCAGTTATCCCCCAGTCATCTCCTCTCCCGCAAATATACTACATGACCTTAAAAAAAAAAAAAAGCGCTGAAATGTTTTTCCTTTTATGTCACTGCCTCCAGGGTAACCCCCGGGGTTTTGCTTTATGGTAGAGCTCTTGTTTTACACATATTAGGCCAACCCAACATGCAGCATACGTGTATTATTATTACCACACATGCCACCTAAATGCCACACACACTTAAAACACAGACTCCAGTGCTTTTTTAGGAAAAAAAAATCTTTATTAAAAAAAAATAATAACTTACAAACAGAGAGAACTTTCTGGAACTTTCTGGAACAAGACTGCTTGCTTTGCGCACAGCGTCACAGCCTGGGACAGTGGTGCTTTGTTTCCCTTTTTTTCACGTAATTTTACAATACCAGTAAGATCACAAACTGCGTGACGGGGTCGTTTTTCGTTCCATATCCCGTGCCGGTACAAAGCACCACACAGATATAAAATTGTCGTAAATAAAGCCTTTGCGCCAAGACTGGCGTATATTTATAGATTTATAGATATATCATTTCAAACCAGCTAACAATTAATGTCATCCTTAGTCAAAACGGAAGTCAAACTAGTCTTCAAACTACCACACTCTGAATACATGTCAGCGTTATGCCTCCCATACGATATTTAAAATATATTTAAACTTTCAAATACATTTATCAGGTACACCAACAGTGAGAAAATAAAGTCTTAAAATTTAAATACAAGTCACCATAGAAAACCTTCGGGGAACACGGAAAGTCCTATTTTACAGAAATACAGGCAAGCCTGTCCCCGCGGCTGGCTTGGTCACACAGCACAGCCCTGGGTGAGGTGACACCGTCAGGATGCACGGCCGACGTGGCCCGAGAAAGGGGGTCGGGGTGAACCATGGCGCACGCTCCCCTCTTCCCGCTACTCGGGCGTCCAGTCGCGAGGCCGCCGCGCCGAACTCTCAGAAAAGAACGCATCCCAGGGTCGCATGGAAAACAAGCACATGTGTCCCCGAGACCCTGCCGAGGGCGCATCACTTGGTGTTTTGCTCCAAGGCCGAGTACTCCGTCTCAGACAGCCTGGAGGCGTCGATGAGTTTGGTGAGGCCAGTTTTGGCCGAGTACTTAAAAATGAAGGCCTTCATCAGCTCGTACCTGTAGTTACGGTTGATGAAGCTGTAGAGCACGGGGTTGACGCAGCAGTGCACCAGCGACAGACACTGCGTGACGTGCAGAGCCGTGAACAGGAAGTTCTCCAGCTGGCAGGTGAAGGGGATGTAGTGGAGAATGGAGAAGATGTCCAGGAGCACCGCCACGTGGTAGGGGAGCCAGCACACGAGGAAGACCACCACGTAGGAGAAGATGATTTTCCGGCTGCTCTGCTTCTCCTGGTCGCTGGAGGCCGAGATGGCGCGGGCCAGCAGGCAGTAGAAGACGGCAATGACGCAGGAGGGCACGGCGAAGCCCAGGACGACGGACACCAGCTCCATGCTGATGAGCCACTCCTTGACGCTGTGCTCGGGGTAGAAGGAGCGGCAGTAAGTCTCATTGTTGGACGCTGACGTGACGGTCTTCAGGTAGTAGGTGTCGGGCAGGGACACGCAGAAGGCCAGCAGCCACACCAGCACGCAGACGGTGCGGCGAACCGCCTTCTTCCTGCGGCTGGACGTGCCGGCAAAGTAGGTGATGGAGAGGTAGCGGTCCACGCTCATGCAGGTCAGGAAGAAGATGCTGCCGAACAGGTTGATGGAGAAGATGAGGTGCGTGATCTTGCACGTGAGCTCTCCCATGGGCCACTGGTTATGCTGCACGAGACTGACCACCCAGACGGGGATGGTGACCACCACCCAGAGGTCGGCGATGGCCAGGTTGAGGATGTAGCAGTGCGTGTCGTAGCCGGTGGTCTTGGCCTGGATGGTCACCCAGACCACCACGGAGTTGGCGATCATGCCGATCACGAAGATGAAGATATAAATGAAGGACAGCGTGTACAGCAGGACGCTTTTGTTGGGCATGCTGGGGCACAGCACCGTGTCCACGACAATGCAGTCGCTGCCGTTGCAGGGCCAGCCGATGTCGGAGAAGTTCCCCGGCTCCAAGTCATCGAAGAGGTGCAGATCCATGGTGCTGAGCGCGGGAAGCAAACGGCCTGCACAGAAACCACACGGAAAAAGAGGGAACAGAAAAGCAGCCTCGTTAGGAAACTCCGGAGCGCCAGTCCACGTGCTCTTCTGGTGCACGCGTGCTCGGCTGTCCCGCTTTGGCTCAGTGGCCTCTTCCCCAAGAAAGGAGAAAAGCAAACAGCCACACACTCCGCACCACCGAATAAAACCTACCTGGAATCTAAACCCGACAGAAAGAGCACGTGCTTTCTCTGTCTTTTCATGCTGTGCCCAGGGTGTGAAATCGGCACGCTCCGGGGGCCAGCCAGGCGTCTGACGGCCAAGGTGACGCTGACGGCTCGCTCATTCTTAGCAGAGGACGGAGGAGCCATTTTCCCCATGTCCCGAAGAATGCGGAGCCCATCAGTTCCTGGCACTGCTGCGTGACAACTGTCCTGCTCTGGGGCCTTAACGAGAGGGCTGCACATTCCCACCCACGGGCATCAAAAATGTGACTCGGTGCTTCTGACCTTCCGGCCACACGTGTGCGTGTGAGCCTGGGTCTTAGGTCGCCTTCGCTCTGCAGTCCTGATGACCACTAAGCACAAAACGTCCTGCAGCTCATGTGCTTGGGTGCACCCCGCACCCGCACCCGCACCCGCACCCGCACCCGCCGGCTTTGCCGCAGGATTTTCAACTAAGGGCAACCACCCAGCTGTGTTCCTTTCTTTTACTGATCCAACAACTGCTTCAAGAGAGGCTTGTGCCAAGACCCGGAACACAAAAGTCACCACCTGTCACGCTTCTGGAGGGACAGACAACCGTCTCCACCTTCTTCCCTAATGACCCGGGAATTGTCACCAATTTCACCATTTTCATCCACAGAGGAATCCGCTCCCAAGTTCCACGGTGCCTCCCCGAAATGCAGCAGCTATGAAGGGACTGTCTTCTATGGCTGGCCCCCTCCCCCAGCCTGAGGGCGCTGAGGTCCCGCCAGGACCCGGCCAGGGACAACGGCCCCACTGTGTGACCCTGGGAACAAGGGCCACCTGCTGAGTTATCTAGCAGAGGAAGGCGTTTGCGCTTCCTTTCCGCGTGTCACAGGTAATGACCCGCCTCGAGTCGAGCCTCCGTGCCAAGTTCATTCGCAACGGGCTCCAGGTCACCGAGATCTCCCTGGAGGATGCACAGGTCAGTGCCCAGGTGGCTACGCTCCCGGCATGAGCTGGGGCCCATCCCAAGACCAGACCTTCCTGGGTTGGCATCCTGACTCTCCCCTCATGGGGGCTAACTTGCTTCCGCTGTACTGTCAGGACACCCGAGGGCCCCGTGCGGAACGAGCCCAGAAGACGGGCTCTGTAAAACCCCACCCCGGCCCTCCACCCCGCCCCAACCCTCCAGCGAAGATCACAGCCTCCCTTCCCTTTTGCTCCACGCTTGAAACTAACTCTTACTGCTAAGTAACTGCCTGTCGCTGCCTGGAAGGGGAGGCAAGGCGAACAGAGGCGGGCGGTGTGACTGGCTCATGTTCAGGATACATGAACCGAGTCTGACCAGTGAGACATTCCGCTGCCTCCCAGGAACGACCAGTGCCTCCGCCCCAAAACCCACAGCAGGTGGGTCTCAGCGGAAATCACTAGCAGATTTCGGGGCACTTCCCCTCTGCGGGGTGAAAGCGCCCACCGGTCCCTCTCCCAGTGACCCACCCGGGGCCCCGTGTCCCCGCTGCTGAGGGGAGAAGGCTGGGCCTCCCGTGAGGCGCCTGCAGTGGCAGGGCCCATAGCCGGGAAGCCTGGCGGTCCCCGGAGCACCCCCCCAGGAGGGTCCCCGTGCCCTGAGACCAGCAACTCATGCACAAGCACAGCAGGGCACCCTGGGAGACTCAGCACGACCACGTTCTAGACAGAGAGACTCCTCACGTGATGGGACTCTGGACCACCCTGGCTCGAAGGCTCTGACAGCACCTGGGGCAGCAGGGGACGCCCCTGAGGACCCACAGGGCTGGCCTTGGGGCGGGCAGCCAGCCCCGGATGGTGCTTTGAAGCCACTATCGCCCCGGCCCCCTGGCCACTAACCTGCCTGGGGCTGACCCTCCCCTCCCCGGCCCCTGAAGCCCCCGTTCTCAGCACAGAACAAACATTTCGGCTTTGCTTCCCTCCTGGTTCCAATGCGGTGGCCCCCTCTCCCCCACCATGTCCTTAAAGTGAAACACATCTGCAGCACGGCCCAGTTTATAAGGTGCTTTCGCCTCATGGCCTCACTGGACCCCAGAGTCCTTGCAAAGCGGAGGAGCCCTGCTGGAGGGCGGAGGCGGGCGGGGGTCGGGGGGGGGCGCCCTCCTCTGCCCTCACCGCCACAGCCCTGCATGGCCTCTGCAGACACAGCCCCGGAGCCCAGCATCCGGGCCGTCCACGGGGGCTGGAAAGGAAGGAATGCGCCCCAGCCTCGGTCACCGTGACGGAGTCCAATCCCCCCACCTCTCTGCTCACCACAAGGAGACAGGGAGCCAGCTCGGGCTCCCGTGCCACCCAGTGGGCGGGCGCTGGGCGCTAGTCGGTGTGCAGGGCTATACCGCATAGGACAGGGGTACGCGAGAAGTCACCGCCTCTCACACCCTAGCCTTTGGGACCCTCTGGGACTCCTGCCTGGGCCGGAGAGGGCGCGGGCTGCATCCCTGGTTTCTGCCTCTGCCTTCTGGGCAGTGAAAACCAGAACTGGTGATCACGGGCCCTCCAAGCCAGAAATGGCACCTGTCTGGGGGCCCCACCACCCCACCCACGCATCCTCTCCCGTCCCTTCCGGAGGGACCCTTCCAGCAATGGTTGATGGGCTGAAGGGCACAGCTGAGGTTTCGAGGCCCCTGGCTAGAGTGAGAAAGCCAGCTGGCCTACCCATCACCAATCATCCACCACCACTCGGCCCAGGAGCCCTGTGCCCTGACCACCCCCCTCCAGGGACCCACAGGCACCCCCGCCCAGGGCAGGAGGCTCCAGCGGCCAAGAGGAGGAGGGCAGCACAGAGAGCAGATGAAGCGAACTAGGAATCAAGCCTCCACAAATCTAAGTGGGGCCTCAGGAGGGCAAAACCCCGCCCAACAGCTTAGCCTCTCGTCATTGCGGTAGTTTGCATGCATTTGGCTTTGGAAACAATCAAGGGCCGTTTCCGGAAGAGAAAAGGATCTGACAACGACAATCTGCATTTTCCGCCAAAGGCGGTCTGCCCCGGGCCCGACCCGGGAAAAGCTGGAGGTCACCGCAGCCGGTACACTGACACACAGGCCACATTCTGCATGAACCGGGAAGGATTCGCATTCCCCGTCTAGGCAGTCAGGCCTCTGAGCCAGAGCCTCTGGGAGGTCTCTTCATGCTGGGGGGCAGCGGAGGGCCGATGACCAGGGGACCTGGAGGAGGCCCCCGTCTTTGATTTTACAGGGTCACACATTTCTCCTCTCGAAAGATTCACGAGTCCCCAACAGTACAAGCGTGTTTACTGAAGCACTATTTATTCGCAAAAAAATCGGAGACAGCATAGACATCCACCAGCAGGGGGCCGGTTTGCCCAAGTGTGAGGTATCCCCCGTGTGAAATATAACATAAGAAAAACAAAGGGGACCTTCCTTTAGGAACACGGAAAGGTAGAACGTTCCGCAAGTGAAAAGCAACATGCCAATACATACGCATCGCATAATCTCATTTAAGAACAAGAGAAAAAAGCAGGTGTGTTTTTACTGTAAATACATGTGCACAAAGGGCACGGGGAAAAGATCTGCAAGAAGGTATAAAACTCTGGGCAGGCGGCGTGGGGCGGGGGGGACAGAGGCGGAGCCTGTCGAGCTGACTCTCTAAACTTCCGTATCACCTGAAATCTGACATCGAGAATTACGTAAATTCTATGGAGGAACGTTTCACCTGACTGTACAGGTTCCCATTCCGCCCGCTGGGCCACAGAGATCCCAGTGACAACAAAACACTGGACTTGTCACCATTCCATCCCGTGTCCCCAGCGCTCGCGGAGTCTTATCTGACCCTCCTCTCCTCTGGGGACACTTGCTACAGACCCTTGGGGGTCGCCTGTCCCACACCTGCACTCAGGGGCCATCACACTTCCGCCATGAAAGGAAGTCAATTTTCCTGTGGACCCGGCGTCCGTCGGGCCCTCCCCACCGCCTGAGGCTCACCCACCGCTCCTGTTCCCTAGTGGTGGAAGGGCTCCCTCTGTCAGTCTGAGGGCTTTTCTGGAAGCCTCTCCTATCTCGGGCTTATTACTCATCAACCAAGTACCCCAGACAACGAGTGAACTACAGCCAAGTGGCCCGAGGCATTTGTCTGAATCCAAATGGTCTGCCTGAGCTCACCCAGGGAGCGGGGGTCACGCCAGAATTAGAAGTCCCCAAGGTTAGTAGGCAAGGGGTGGCGGTCAGCCCGCAGTAAACATGTCCCCTCCTTGGCCACAAGCCGATGCCTCCAGGACAGAGACCGCCAACTGGCTGGCGTTCACCAAAACTGCCCTCCGTGTGTGTGCAAATTCCCATCGCCGGCCAGGAAGACCCTTCCCGGCCAACTTCTTACTTAGCTGCTCCCAGTGAACGGGACCTGCTTCTCCCACCCGGTCCCCCATCCAGCCACATGTCTCCATTCTGTGTCACTGCGTTTACGTTTCTCCACATTCTTCCTGCCCGAGCCCCGCACCCCCGCGATGTCTTTGCCAGTGGCGTTCATCGGGCCCCACCAAGCCCAGTGATCTGATGCCAGCACTGGGAACGCGAGTCCAGAAGTTTCTGAACCGAGACAAACATCAACTCTGTGCACTTCCCAAATTTTGGGAGCCTCCTCTGTGGGGGCCACTGCTCTGGGGCATAACAGACCAGAATCACCATGCTCCGCGCCTCCCCCCCAAGAACTTGCCAGTAACTAAGAAGAGAAAGCAGGCAGCAGGTGGTGGTAGTGCCCCCCGGGGCAGGAGGGTGAGGGGTTTCCACTCAACTGGCTCACGGGAGCCTTCACGGAGAAATGCAGGGGTGCCTCAGTGATGCACCATGAAGAGCGTCACTGAATTTGGCTGAGGCCACCCTCCCCACACGGGAAAGCTGGCGGCGAGTCTCCGTCCGGGGCAGGGGTACAGGAAGTGAGGGGGTCAGGCTAGGCCAGTCCACCCAGGAGCCACGGGGTTGTGAGCAAGAGAGTGGCCTGGGGCAGAAAACGCTTTGAGGGCAGGCGTGCCACTGTGGAAGGCGCACAGTGGGATGCTCTGGTGGCCGGGCACAGACTGGCAGGAGGAAGGGGCTCCCCGAAGTCCCCAGGGGTGCAGATAAAGATTCCGTGGGCCAGGCCAGAGCAAGGCAGCAGCTGGGACCCTCAGGGCTCTTTAGGAGACCTCTGCCTACGGGGGATCTTTTTGATCAGCTTTCTGTGTCCTGCCGGGACGGAATTTCACAGAGCAAGTCAGCGACGTGCAGACTGGGTCACCGTGTTCCGTCTCTCCGCTGAGCGCCTGCACACTGAGGCCAGGCCAGGCCAAGGGACCAGGTTATCTGGGTTTGTGGCTTAACAGCGGCTCTCTTCACTTTCCCAACTTTTCCAGAGGCTTCATCCAGTGGGAGCCGTGCTCTGGCCTCCTTGCCATAGTCCACACCACCCCCCACACCCTGCTTTCTATGCAGCCGGCACGCGGTTCGCTAAGGAGAATCCGCACTACCTCTAAAAACGTGAGGCAACTGCCCAGCTTTGAGGTTTGGGTTTTGTTTGCCGTTTGGTTTTTTTTTTGTTTGTTTGTTTGTTTGTTTTTTACCAATGCTGCATTACATCTACAGGGAAGTCCAGAAAGCTTCGGCCCTGGCAGGCTCCCTGTGGCCATCTGCGAGGGCTGACAGCAGATTGGGGACTGGTGGGTCCCCCAGTGCCAGGCAAACAAAAACAATGCTATCTTGGGTGCCTATTCAGTCACCGGCTGATACTTTATACAAGTAAGGGGCTGCTCTAAAGTATCAGGAAACGCAAAAAGTCATAAAGAGAGAGTCAAGGGGAAAGAAAACTCCCTAACCCTGATTCAGATCTAGGCCACCTAACCCTGGGGGGTCCTCAACATGTTTCCTGTTAACACACGGTGGGGGGGGGGCATCTTCACCCACTTTTAAGCATTTGGGGGAGAAAATGAACCCCCACATCCAGAAAGCCAATCTGGTCTATTGTGCCCAGCTGCCCACAGGGAAGCAATGCTGTGCCCAGAAGGGCAGGTCCAGAGTCCCATGTCACAAAGGCTGCCGTCCGGGCTGGCCGGGTGTCACCAGAGCCTCCGTTCCCACCCAGCTCAGGACCTGGACGAGGCAGTGGCAGGTCAGCCAGGCTCCCGGCCAGACACAGTAGAGTTCCCAGGAGCACACGACACCATCTCGGACTCTACTAATAAAACTCAGGGGAGATCCCCACAAAGCCGTTAAACCGGCAAGAAAATCAGAAGATGCTGGCTCTCTGGCTGACACGGTCCCCCACGATGCCCACCGCCCTTTTATCTGTCCCTGGCCAACAGCTGTCCAGAGTCACCACTGAGCTACTCACGGTCCCTTCGCCCTTCCAGAGCATGGAACAAAACATGGGATCAGCTTCCAAGCCTACCTGTGGCTCAGCAAAATGTTCGCGATAACACTATGCAACCCCCTCGTTACTTTACTAAGGAAAGCAACTACGCGTTCTTCCCCCACGCTAACTTAGTGGATTCTTAAGTAACAAAAAAATCAAATGTTCCCTGCAGAAAGCCATCAAGCATTTGAAATCAGACAATCCCCTTCTTTGTTCCTTCCCTTTTCTGGTCTCACTCTCTCTTTTTATTTACCTTTGCTTGCTTGTTTTTACTTTAATAGAAAATGCATGTCCTGGGGCTCAGGTTATCCGGACACTGGACGTGACCCAGCCTTGGGTTTCTTTCTGCACTCCAGCCACGTGCGTGCGACTCAACGAGAAGGCGTCCTGACACAGTCCTTGTTCCTAAAAGTCAAACTAAGTTCAAACTCTGTCCCCTCTAGCTCCAAATTCCACTTGCGCCCTGCAAAACCACGGAGAGGAATCTAAAGCCCTAAAGTCTTGAAGGCTTTTCTCTTTCTGCTCGGTTTTAGTCTTCAGGCTTCTGGAGCACCCGTCTGCCAGCCTCAGGTCCGAGGAAGTCCAGCCAGCTCTGGCGTGCCTCCCCGAAAACAGAAACCCCTCTGCCCGGATGACCACACAAAAACCCACTGTTCTGATGAAGTAGGTTTTTTTGTTTGGTTTTTTTTTTCTTTTCTTTTTTTTTTTCCATCCAGAAAGCCTACACTTTGCCTGTTCTGGGTCTGATTAGAAACCATAATACCTTCTCAACTCTCCCAGGATTCGCTGTTAATAAGGGAAAAACTCACCTCCAAAGTCCTGACTCAGTTAAGCACAGGCACGCTGCCTTGGCTACACTTTCTGGAACTTTTTTAAAGCTATGATTGCAATGCACGCCCCTCTAAGAAACCGGACAGGCAGCAAAATACGGGCGTTTCTCAGTTTTCTTTTGCTCTTCCACCCCGCCCCCCACCCCGCAGCCCCAGGAGGCTGTGTGGCATCCAGCTCGGGAACATTCGAGTGTGTATGGCCAGAGACAGGGAGGAAAAAGAGCAAATTGTTTCCAAGCTAGAGCGCCTATGTGCAACCTTGCTTTAGAGAAAGGCTTTGCATCTGGGGAAGCTCGCTCCAGACGGAGGGACAGGCAGTTTATCCCTTTAAAATCTATAGAAAGTTAAGCACAGACCCCAGCAGCCTCCACTCTCTTTTCTAGGCAAGCCTATTTGATCTCTGCATTTTCTTGGAATAAATAAAAGGACACAAAGGCAGCATCTGTGTTCAAAAAGAAAAGGGAAAGTTACCACATTGAGACTCTGAAGAATGAAGTTTCAGGGGATGTCAGGGCACCGAATACCTTCAAAGGGCTGTAAACCATGTCACGGGGGCCTCTGCCACTCCGGGAAAACCTAGGGATCCTGTTGTGAGCAAATGAATTAGAGAGAGAGGGGGGGGGAGGGAGGGAGAGAGAATAGAAAGAAGAGAGAGAAAGGAAGAAAGGGAGAAAGGAAAAGACGGAGGGAGACAGCCAGTCTGACTTTTACAACTTCTCATTCTCTCTGGACGTTACGAGGCTTGGCTAACCACCCACCCCTTGACCTCACTCCAAAGTTCTGACTCTGCCAGTCACCCCCCGAATCTCCATGCACTCACGCTAACAATATTGAACAGAACTCACGTTTTACCTGAAGGCTGCATTGCAACGGCAAAATCCTAGACTTGTGTGCGTGTCCTTGTTGCTTTCTACTTGAAGTTGGACTTACCTTCCGAGAGCACAATAAATACCCCCACTGGGTTAGCAAGGATGCAATCGAGAGACTGGCCAACCGAGCTGCACTTAACATTCACCCCCGTAGCCGCCCGGCTTCCAGGATCCGGTTAATCCCCCCAAAGCCCTGAATTCGAATCCATGCTGGAACCCCACACTTCAGGATGCCTCTTAATAAAGCGTACATCTTTCTGCAATGACATATTTCCTGCCAACTCTATCTACTTCCCGACTGATCCCCAGCGTGAGCGTGGGGCGCGGTGGTGCCCGGCTGCTCCCTATGCCAGGTCCGAGCCAGCCCCGCGGACATTCTGGCTCAGTTCTCACCCAGCCGAGCTTAAACACCCACTGCAGCAAACAAACACCAGCTTCCTAAAGCCAACACACCCACGGGGCGCTCCCTCCACCAGCCCCGAAGGGAAACGGCCCTTAACTTTCTGCAGCCGGAAGGTGAAGCCCCCACCTTGGCAGCCGCGTTTGCAAAGCAGCCTCTGCAGCGTGCAGCCCGTGCTTTCGGAGCCCAGACCTGCAACGCCCTGGGCAACCGATCACAGCGATTCAGAGTCCTCGGTTTAAAAAAAAAAAAAAAAAAAAAGGCGCTCAGCTGCAGAACCGAAACCCTGCCCGCCGAGCTCCCCTCCGCTCCGGGCAGGGCCGCGGAGAGCAGCGTCCTTACCTCCGGGTTGGGCTCCGGGCTCCGGGCTCCCTGCGCCGCTCCTGCGCGCACCGCCTCCGGGCCGAGCAGTTTGCAGGACTGAGCTCGCCGGCTGCGGACCCGCGTTATATACACTGCAGGAAGGCGCCTCTAGGTGGCAGCTTTGTAACCCGCTTCTCCCTCCCTGCAGGCGCGCGCCGCCCCCTCCTAACACACACGTGCAGGAACACACACGCGCGCACATGCACGCACACACGCGCAGGCACGCGCGCGCACCCTCTCGCCACCCCCGGTCTCCCGCGCCGCCCCCGCACCCCCTCCGGCGCACCCCGCGAACCCCCGCGGCCTTGCACGGTCCGGACCCCGCGGGGGAACACGCGTCCGCAGAAGAAAACCTGCAAAGACGCCCCAGCGCTTTTGCGAAATCATCAAATTACCTATCTGGTCTCAGGTATATCTTTAATAATCCCATTACCACCAGGAGTTCCTCTGAATGCCTCTCGGCTCTAGGGAAGACTTTGTTCCCAAGACAAATTGCTCTGACCTTCTGAACCTCGGTGTTGATTTATTTGGCCTGGGGTTCTCTTTGTTAATTCCTCCAAAACAGAAGTAACAGTTTGGGTATGAGCACCGTCATGTGCCCATTTTATGTGCCCCGGGAGTGCGGGAAAGAGCGTCTGAAATAGATTTTAAGATTGTATTCGAATAGTTCTTTCTGGAGGAGATTTTAGGTCCGGAGTCCTTAAAAATCTCAACAGAAGGGTGTTCCCAAGTGCCTACCCAGTCCACGCACACGTCAGGGGCATAATAAATGTCTTCTGATAAGGTCTTTTTCTGAGGTGAGTTTAGCAAATGCTTTATTATTATTATTATTATTATTATTATTATTACTGAAATCTGCATTCTCATCAGAAAGTGCATAGCTGAAGTCCTGCCCATGGGGAATTCATCCTAACAAGAACCAACCGTTAAACACGGAGTAAACTTTCACTTTTAAAACCACGCTGCCTGCGCTCTTTTCCCCTAGAGTTTTGTGCCACATTGTGTGGCTTCTGGTTTGCTTTCTGCTTCTTGTGGGGTCCCCTAAGGGCACATATGCGTGGAGGCACCCCGGGTTGCCACTTTCTCCCCAGCTAAAACGTTTTCAGATTCTTTTTATCCTTCTTCCGAAAAACAACACACAGCCAAACGCGGAGCCTGGAGGCGCGGAAAGGTCAAACTCGCCCGGGGCCGCAAGGCCCTTAACAAAAGAAATCCTCTGTTGAGATAAAAGCTTCCCGACTCCAAACGCGAGCACCAGGCGCACACCTGCACCCCGCAGCCCTCCCACCCCGGGGTCCCGGAGGGGGTCTGCCGGCCCCTTCCCGCACGGTCCCCGCCTGGGTCCCCCTGTCGGCTGGGGACCCAAACCCCACCTCCAGGCGCCTGGCGAGGATGCCGGGGCAAAGGTACCCTGCAGGCTGCTCGGTGTGCGTTCGCCCAGGATTGGGGGCGACTACAAGAATACTTTTTCCCAACTTTCTGGCCCTCGGTTCCTCTTGCGCGTGACCCTGTGTGTGAGCCTCCTGGGAATGTACGCCCAGCAGCGAGCAGAGGTCTCCTCGGTGACACGGACGCACACGCTTCACTTTGTATCTCCATGAACTTGACTCTCTCGTCTTTGCAGGACGGGTTTCTCCTTGGAGCGCAAGAGCCAAGCCCAGGACCGGCTGGAATGCGGTGTAGACCCGCGTGCTGCCTCTAACAGAAAATACGCACTGATAACGAGATGCAGTCGCTGACACAGGGGAGGGAGATGCGGTGTCCTTGTTAAAATAAAAAAGAACCTGCCTGGGTTCAGAAGGTGGGATCCGCCCTCTCCACCCGCGGGGCTGGGACTCAGGAGCCGCCCCCCACTTGCTTGGGTACAGCGGGCGGTGGAAAGAGGGGTGCCCGGGACCCCGCCTTCCCTGCTGCCGCTAACCTCGCCCCAGAACCCAGTCCTGGAAGCACTGCTTGGTAAGGGAACCGGATTCCAGCGTCCCAGGCCCTAAAATCCTCTTGCAGCCTTCCCGAGGTCCGCCCCAGCTTTGTGGAAAGGTCCCTTTGTACAGGGGGGTCACACTTAATGGTTAACTTGGTGGCAGGGAGTTTGGTTACCCCAGCAGGAGAGGCTGAGAAGGCAGGACTGGGGGCCGCCCCTCGCGCTGTCCCAGCTGACCCGGGCTCAGTTCTTCCTGAGAAGGGCCGGGGAAGGGTGTGCGGCCCAGCTCCGCGCTCCTTGCCTGTGTGTAATGTGTACCTGGGATTCTAGACTCCGCGGGGCAGACTCTCCCCTCGGGCTTGATTTGCCTGCAGATAAAATAATTCGAATGGAACCTTCTTCTCTTGCTCAGCTGTGGCAGCCTGAATCTGCTTGCTGCCGGAAACGCCCCCTGAACCTTGGCAGCCTGGGTCCAGGCTCCTTCTGAGCACAGTCAGAAGTGGAGCCCTGGTGGATTCTGGTGGCCGCGGCAGCGGCCCCAGACACACTCAACTGCACGGTGGGCCTGAAGACTGATGGCTGACTTCGCCTGACCGCGGTCTGCACCCCAGCCTGAGGACCGCCCCACCAGGCGCTACACATCCCTGGAGCCGCGCCCCTCTCGGCCTGGTGAAGGTCGCCTCAGCTAGACCGGACGTGCTCCTTGAACATCAGACACAAGGCCTTTCTGTGCGGGAAGCATCTAGAAGCAAAGACAGAGCCTCACACCCAAGGAGACAGGGTCCCCAGCGTGGGCTCTGACCAGACAGGTCTGACTCGGAGCCCCGCCTTACATGCCACGTCTCCTTGGGCAGCTTAGCCTGTTTGAATAGGAGGCTCCTATCTTTCCAGAATCGATAGCAGAGCCTTCTTGCCAGGTGGTTCTCGGGATTAAATGAAGGGATGTGTATTAGAGACACGGTGGCTCTTCTTCTTCCTCCTCCTGTCCCCGTCCCCAGATGAGGCAAATTCCAGTGACACAGTGTTTTTGGTTTTTGGTTTTTCTTTTTTTAAGAACTAACACAGATATGTAACCCAAGGCTTGCAACGCTCTGTGAACTTTGATAAGGTTTGGACAGGATTTATAACAATAGCTAAATCTCAGCATTTGCCCTTTGCCCATCTAAGTGTTTCGCCTGCGTTCTCTCATTCAGTCTTCACAGTGACCATAGAAGTGGCACTATATTCGTCCCACTTCTGTGAGGACAGTAAGGCCCAGAGAGAGGGGGGAACCTGGCCAAGCCCGTGAATGAGGGGATTCAAATTCAGATGTGTCCGACTTCTCCACAAGTGCTATCTCATCTGCTGCCACAGGAAGACGTACTTTTAAAAGAAAAAAAAGGAGGGGCGCCTGGGTGGCTTAGTCGGTTGAGCGTCCGACTTTCGCTTAGGTCATGACCTCGTGGTTCGTGGGTTCGAGCCCCGCGTCGGGCTCTGTGCTGACCCAGCTCAGAGCCTGAAGCCTGTTTCAGTCTGTGACTCCCTCTCTCTCTGACCCTCCCCCGCTCACGCTGTCTCTCTCTCTCACCTAGAAATAAAAAACATTAAAAAAAATAAAAAATAAAAAAAAATAAAAGAGAAAAAAGGAAACCCATTGCAAAATATGTATCAAGCTGTCGTAAGTGGGGCGGCCCAAAAGCAGGACCATGGATGAGAATTCAGGGGCCACCCATGCATTGAAGGAGTGTTCCAGAAGAATCTAGCAAAGGAAAGACACAAGCAAGGATGTGATTCTGGCCACGTCTCAGTGCAGACCGTTCATCAGCCTCCAAAGCCTGCAGTCACATGCTGATTTTGCCCCAACTGCGGGCAAGGATGCCGGCTTCATACTCTTACACCCTTCAAAGCCTGCATCACGTTGCTGGGTGGGAAGGGGGGGATGTAACCTCCACTTACTTCCTGTTCCCACCCTGTATGGGCAAAGCAGCTCCAGTAACCCGAGGTCAGTCTCGCAAAGATGCCTTCCAGTCACAGCCTGGGCGGTTAACCCACGTTAACTAGATGCACAGACACACAAGAAGTCAGAGGCGTCCAGGAACAAGGCCACCGGTGCCCACTGTACAAGTTGTCACTGGTACCTCTTACAGTAGTTTTGACCCAAATCAGAGAATATTCACTAATTAATACTCAGACCAACTTTTTGTTTCTACCTCAGGACCTTTGTACCTGACATTATAGCTTCCCCGAATGCTCTTCTCAATGACTGTTGTATGGTTATGTCCTTGTTATTCAAATATTGCCTTCAATCTAATTTTCTTAGAAAAACCTTCTTTCACTGCTCTGGTCCATGCCAATTACTCTGTCTTTATCCTGTATTCTTCACATTTCCACCATCCAAAGTTTCCAGTTTATTGTTTGCCTTTTCTCTACCAGAGCATAAACTCCTCAAGGGTAAGAACATTGCTCCTTTGTCCTCTGCTGTTTCCCATTGTCACACGGGACCCTTGGCCCTTGGCGTGGTGTTAATAAATATTGACTGAACGAATAAACTCAGAGGAAGCTCACTGTGGAATCAGGTTCTTGCCCCCTTCCCATATTTCACTCACTCACTTCCTGCCTCACAGCAGTGGTTTGGTGGGAAGAGTGTCGGGAGAGGGCTCAAGAAAATGTTTTAAGGAGTCTTAAAATATATACTTTGAAAGTGTCCAAAAATATGAATAGGTTCTTCCTGCAACACTGTGGCCCCTAAAAACATGAAAAGTGAGCAACTTCCTCAGTCCTTGGAAAAATACACATTAAGACACCGTGCCGTGTGCATACGACTGGACACCCCCAGAGAGGCTAAAATGAAAGCTGGTGAGCGCTCGCAAGGATGGGGACCCCCAGAAATCACACACCAGTGCCTCGCAGACTGTGTGGTGAGGTGCCAGTGTTCCTTTTCTTCCCCAAGGCCTTGCACCCCAAGCCACGGTCCTGCCAAGAATGACTAGTGAGGGGCCCCTGCCACCGTGTGTCATCACACGTGTGCCACATGCAGCATCACACAAGGCTGCCGATCATGCATTTGTATGTCGCAGCAATGCCCCGTGTCTTTAAAACTTCCTAAATGCTCACTGCCCATTTCTAACCTCACTTCTTTGCCAGCTAGTAGCAAATGGCTCAC